TCTCTACTGGTCCCATCATAAAACCTATTTTATGAGTCCTGGTAAGGTAGTTGGAAAGCCAACTGAAGTGTCCCTTTTGCTGTCTGGGAGGAACAGCATGAGGGAGACAGAAGTCAGAGCTGGCTGTTTTCATAGGGATGAAAGTCTCCTATTCTCTTACTCTCTTTTTTAAAAAAAACTTGCCAGAGAGTGTGTGTGCTTGCTAGAGAGAGACAAAGAGGCAGAAAGAGAGAGGGAAAAGGCACTCCTCAAAAGAGCGTGATCTCTCCTCCATTTCTCCATTCCCTCAAAACCTTGGGCACATGCACATACATGTGCTTGGGGTGTTTTTCAAGCTGCCTAGTCAGGACTAGAATCCCAGTTGGCTATGTGGGATCTGGCTCCCACGACAACTAGGCTACAGGGCTGGCCTGAAAGTCTCCTTTTCTTGCATCCACTTTTCTGCCTATCTCTGCTGTGAGAACAGTGAATGGCCCTTCTCCCTCTTTCTATAGCTTTTCAGGTGGGAAAGCATCTTAGGTGGATTGGGCTAGGGTCTATACTGCAAGGGTCAGGGTCAGGGAGCTCTGATGTTGCAAGACTAGTTGTTGACGGATGAAGCAAGGGTAGGGGCCCGGTATTCAGTAAGATCCAGTTTAAACACTGCAGAAAGGGAAGGAGGGAAACAGGACAGGCGGAGCATGTTCTCTGTGTGGACCAGCTGTATTTTATTTTGTCTGGCCATCCACGTGTAGCTCCCAAGTGTACTTCCTGCCTCCTGAGAGCCTCCAGATCTAGAACCTCAGCTCTTTTCTTCTTCAGACTAAACACACTAAGTTTCTTCTGTTACTTTTTAAAAGAATTATTTAATTTTATTATTTATTTATTTATTTATTTATTTATTTATTTATTCTCTCTCTGGTGCACTCACCAGGAAGAGAGATAGAGAGAGAGTGAGAAAGCAAGCCACCAGATCTGAGACTCGAACCGTGATCAGCTATGTGGGAGTCCAGCACTTTAACCACCATGACACCTGCTGGTCCCACATCTGTTACTTCTAATGATGTAGCTCTCTATTCCCTCACTGTTTCAGTTGGCCATTTTGGTATTCTCTGGTCGGTCCTATTATCGGACCCTGGACAGGTTATTTGTTGACTGAATAGTCCCTCTAAGGAAAGCAGGCTTATTTGACCCTTTTCCTGCCCGACTCTCCAACTTCTTAGAGTGTAGGCTGTCTCACACTTCTTTTCTGCACATATTGGTTGAACATGACTTATGTGTAAGATGCTAAGAAAAAAGAAATGCAAAGACAGGAATCTTCTTCCTACAAGAAGCCAGTTATCTGGCAGAGAGATGGAGTTGCCACCAGCCATTTAATTCACAATGAAATAGCCAAGGCAGTACCCAGGAGATAGCAAGTCATATAGCCCTTGGCACAAAGGAAGTGCTCCGTAATTATGGTGCTGAACAAGCTAATCCCGCAGAGAATTGGGGCTCAGTTGAGGAGGTCTCCTAGAGAAGGCAATATCCGAGCAGAGATTTGCTTCTAATCCACAGCAGAGTGAGAAATCACCTCGCTTGTAAGTTAGAGTTGACAAAGCTCTGTGTGAGAACCAAAGATCTTCTTTTATGGGCTGAAATCTCTGGGGTTTAATGTTGGAGGTTTGCATTGCTTATTTTAGATTCTCAGTGGTATTTTCTACCTTCCAGATTCAAGGCTATATTCTACAGGATCAAAGTTGCCAGAAGAATATCCTTCCAAGAGGTGGGAGCATTTCTATAACTAAGTTATGACTGCACAGGATGAATCAGATTTGGACAAGTGTCACTCCAATTCTAATGTGTCTGTATTTCAGAGGACCCCCCCCCAAAAAAATGAGGAGAGCTGCAAATGCCATAGCTTCTGCTCATACTGTCATCTCACTTTCAGTCTTCCTTTCATTCTCTCCATTATTGTTTCATTTTTTGAGAGAGTAAAATGGTGGATATTATAAGCAGAAAAGGTTAGGGGAGGGAGAGTAAGATCTTGGATAACAGATTACATTTTTTTGGAGGGGGGTGATGAACATAGAATTACATAGTGGAGTTAATTGTACAATGTTCTGAATGTAGTAAAAGCCACTCTACTGTACAGTTTACAGTGGTTAAAATGGTGAGTTTAAAGCCAGCCCCATAGCACAACAATTAAGTGCTATGCATAGAAAGTCATGTCCCAAATGGCTAACTGGGTTGGAACACTGGCCCTGGTGACTGGAAGAATATGTTGGGCACATGTGCAGACATGTGTGAAATCATAATGATGTGGGGAAATGAAGGAGAAGGGATTGCAGCAGGACTATGCTCCACTGGGGTTGCTTCTTCCATTCCATCACCCTCTCTCTCTCTCTCTCTCTGTCCTCTCTGGTGAATACATGTACCCTATGGTGATTTTTTTTTCTTTTCTTTTAAGATACAGCAGTTGCATCAGGTGGTGAGCACAGGGCTCTGCAGACATTTGCAACTGTAACTTATTGAATCACTGACTTTCTATTGTGTGTAGTGACTTTTCTATGCACTCACTTTCTATTTCCAAAGTAGTAGGTGGCATCCTCTGGTTATCAACATGTCTCCACAATCTAGAAAAAATGGATTGGGCAGCGAGTCCTAGAGAGAGAGAAAAAAAATAGAATTGCCATATTAAGTGATCTGAGATTCCTGAGTTCAGGTTTGTGGAATATTCCAGGAACCACTGTCATCCCCTTGACTATGTAAGTTAAGAGACAAAAGAGTAGACCTACTGCAAGGAAGAGTGGAAGCCTATGAATTTCTGGCTTTTTGTAATGAAAGAGGCAGGTAGGAAGCTATCTGTAATGTTGAAGAAGTTCTTTTGATGCTGCCATTCTTAGGAGTCATGATAGAACAATTTTGCGGTTGTCTTTGTGCCTTATTTTCCATTTCTCAGAAGGGTCATCACTAGCTATTCACTGATTTCCCTCTGAATCATTTGGAAATTTAAAAACCTTCTTATATTTGAGGTTTCCTGGACTTCTTACATGAAACGGCAAGATTTTTCGTTTTATATAAACAGCAGCAATAATGAGCTGTTCTGCAAGTTTAGTTTTAAGGCTTAATTTCTCACATTCTTCATTCACATATCAATTCTTGTTCAAATCCTGCCATTTATTTTTTTCTCTCACAACATTTCTCGAACCCAAGTCTCCTCTTTCCATAGCCACTCTCTTGTCCTAGCTTTAATTTCCTTATATCTAGACTGTCAGAGTTGGAATTCCAGACTCTTCTCCAGCCATTTCCATCTTCCATGTACTCCACAGGAGCAGCAGAGGCTGCCTTCTTAGAAAACATCACTTAAATGGGGGCTCCCACGCACAGAAACCTGTGATGCTTCTCTTCAGCGTACGGAGACTCACCCTTCTCTTCCTTCAGTATTTCACTTAAGGTCGAGTACCTCCTTCACAAAGCTCTTAGTGATCATAGTCTGGTGGAAATTTGGTTGGGACAACTAAAATTGAACCCGTGCCTCTGCAATTATGCTCTGTTCTTGAACATGGTGTGTGTGTGTGTGTGTGTGTGTGTGTGTGTGTGTGTGATGGCTCATGACTCCTAGATACTCTCTCTAGACACTTGTTCTCACTTCTCACTTGGTCACATGAGAACATGTTTGGTCTGATTTGGAGAAGTGGAATTTATGATCTGCTCTCTCCAGCAGGTATATCAGTATTCTTTACTAGTATGGGCCTTAGTAATGGTTATACATTTAGTTTTAAAAACTTACTTTGGTGGGGAACCAGCAGTTAGCGTAATGGCTATGTCGCTGAATTCCCACTTAGTCGACCACGGTTCACGTCCCGGACCCAGTGGCTTAAAACTACGCTGGGCACGTGTACGTGTGTGCCCAAGATCCCGAGATGAGAATGGAGGAGAAGGGATTGCGGTGTGACCATCCCCTCTGGGGGGTGATTTCTCTCTTTCTGTCTCTATGTCTCTCTCTGTCTGGCGAGCCCATGCGCCCTCTGGCGAGCGCACGCGCCCTGTAGCGAAAAACAAAAACAAAAACTTACTTTGGGGCCCAGCAGGTAGTGTGGTGATTAAGGTGCTGGACTCCTACATAGCTAACTGCGGTTCAAGTCCTAGACCTGGAAGCTTTCTTTGTCCCCTTCTCTCTCTCTTTCTCTCTCTCTCCCTCTCTCTCTCTCTCTGGTGAGAGCACATGCCCTATAGCAAATTAAAGAATAATAATAAATAGTAATTAGAATTAAATAATTTTTTAAAATTTAAACTTATTTTGAGTGGGAAGTGTATTCACATGTTACAAAATTCAGACAGTTCAGAAGGGCATTTAGTGACAATGCCTTGTCTCTCCTTCTCCTGTCCCTTAGTCACATAGCTCTTTCAGGAAGCACCAGTGTCAAATTACTTGAGTATCCTCCCAAATACATTAAAATTTAAATCAGGATCAGCAGTTGGCATAATGGCTATGCCGCTGGACTCCCATGTAGTCAACCATGGTTTGAGTCCCGGACCTGGTGGCTTAAACTCATGCCAGGCATGTGTGTGTGTGTGCCCAAGATCCTGAGAGAGGAATGGAGAAGGGATTGTGGTGTGGCCTTTCCCCTGAGAGGTAATTTCTCTTTTTCTGTCTCTCTGTTTTTCTCTGTCTTTCTGGGAAACTCTCCAAAACCATTTTTTTTAAATGTAAAAAAAATTGAAATGTGCTATCAGGTGTCCTCTGCCTTAGGAAATAGCGAGTTACCCAAGGGCAAGGTCTGAATGTTCTTTCTTTGTTCTACCTTCTACACCTGTGGTGTTCTGCCTATGTCTCAATCAAATCCCCTGTTTCACTTCTTTCCTTTGCTATTGAGACATAGAAAGGACTTTAAGCTAAAAATACAGTAAGAGTACCGAAGTAGAATCCACCTCCGCTGCTGGCTCAGGTCAAAAGCACAAAGGAAAACATCCCGACTCTGGGCTGTGCTTCTTTTAGTCAGGCCTGGATAGAGATAGCCTATAGCCTCAAGCATCTTTTGAGAGACCTCTTGGACTTATGAGGAGTAGAGGGCTAAGAACTGGAAGTCTGTATGCTTGTGTGCCATATTGATAGACTTATTTGTTTGCTGCCACAGCTGTCAGGAGCCCAGGATGGCTCAATTTCCATCCAAACTCTCAACCAGCCTTTTTCATGTTGCAGTTGATCCTGTTCTTCAAAATGCCAAGGCACGAGCCACCATTTCTTGTGAATCAGGATTGGTTATAGGACCCCAGAAGGTTACAAGGAACACATGTGGTAAGCAAGAATTTTTTCACTGAGAACCAAAAATTCTTATCATTTTCCTCCATTGCCCAGAATAAAAATACATTTTTCTATTCTGGGGAAGGGTCTAGAGAAATTTCTTTCTTTGTCTATTTGAGGAGAGAGACTGGAAAAATATGCAATGAATAGCTGCTAAGTCTCTGGTGAAGGAATAAATTGGTATTGCTTTACCAAATCTATTCAGGACAGATTGCATTATAAAATGTAACTAAGGTGATCACTCTGAGCTCCTTATTCTCCCCTACTCAGCAGCCCCTTCAAAGGGACTCCTGAGACTTCTTTCTCTTAGATATTAGGGTTAAACCTTATATAAGTGAGCTGGGGAAAAAAGAGAGAGAGAGAGAGAGAGAGAGAGAGAGAGAGAGTTAGAAGGAGCTATGAACCACCCAGAGGGAAATAATAAAAGCTATCCTGAGTGGGGCAGGTAAGAGTGATCAACAGCCTGTAGACGTGAAGAAAACCTGGGTCTGTGGCTAACCCTGAGGAGGGACTGGAGTGCAAGCAGGTGGGCAAAGGGGAACCTGAGAATGAGCGCACTGCAGCAGGTGAGAAGTGGAGACAGCAAACCCTGCAGCAGCAGAGTGGGAGGGAGCTTAAAGAAAAGTGATGCCCATTTTTTACAAGGGATCTTTGTTTCTGTTCAGTAGAGGATCCATGTTAGACACCCATCTCGAAATAACTCTTCCTGCCTCGCTAGACAGAATATGGGCCACTGGCACAGAATTATACTACCAGTTCCCTTGGAATAGAGGTAGAATGTATGTATGCTGGACAAGAGGCCATGCGATTAGCAGGAGGTGTTCTTTACAGTGAGTGATGGGGCTGCACCTCTGGAAATACGATAATAAATAGACTTGGTGTCTGTGGACACTGAGAATAATTTGTGTAGTTAGAAGGACCCTGAATCAAAGACATGTACCCATGCAGCTGTGTGGGTAAGAAAGATCCTAGAAATGGAAATATCATGGAATTGGAGCAGAGAAAGAAGATAAGGACAGAAACAGATGATAAGTTACAATTGGCTGAAGACCTGCCAATTGTTGGATGAGGAATGAATTGAAAAGTATTATCAAAGCACCACTAAATGTGATTTCTATTTTATTCTCTGTCATTGCATTTAAATTATATAAAATTTTAAACAATTTTGGAAGGTTCCTAAATGCATAACTAATTTTTATACATTTCTGAGAAAACAGTCCATGGATTATTACCAATAGATGTTTGAACTGGGAAGTGTGTTGACAATCTTGTGCCCAGGGTTTGTACACTTGATAAATAACTCTCTCTAAAGCAATGCATTAAGAAACAAAAATGAAACCTGTGACTAGGGTTCCACTTCCAGGGATGGGTCCGTGGTGCAGC